CCAAAAACATAAGATCTTCAGAACACATGCCTTTCACATACTGTATTTAAATAGTGTTCTGGGAACATACCTGGCTCCATTGTTTTCCCGTAGTTGCTTGAGTTGGAAACTTGATTTCTCCCTCCAGACCTTTAACTTTCACTTAATCTAATTCTCTGATGCAGAGAGTTTTAGTTTTTAGAGAGGTTGGGGAGATGACTAGAGTCTCAGAATGAAATATAAATAATATTAAGTTCTATCAACGTAAACCTGATGATATGCAGTTGAAACTGCAATCTTATCTTTTTAACTGACCAATCACAGGATTATTTCATTATTAAATTATAAATAGATATTTAATTATGAGCCACAATAAATTATAATGAACCATAGAATAATAATAATAATAATAATTATTCTAACGCAATGAACTAAAAAATAAGGGGGGAAATGAAAAAAAAATTAAAATGTTCATTGTCTATGCACCAAATATGAAATTTTAATATATATATATATATATATATATATATATATATATATATATATATATATGTTAGCTCAAATGTAGTCATGTGTCTTAACGCGCGGTCAGTGCGGCTGCATCATTAGGTGTGTAAAAATGCACCAATAGTGTTAGAAAACGCACAACAATAAAATGCACCACAAACCTAAAAAAAATTGCACCATACCTCCCCACACCTAATTGTGCGTTTCCAAACACTGTGTGGTACGTTATGCATACCTAATGGGGCATTTTGTGGTGATGCATACCTAATGGTTCGCTTTTTGGTGCAACGATGCATTTTTTGTTGAGAGTTTCCTAACACTATTGATGCGTATTTGCATACCTAATAGTGCGATTGCATTGACCGCACATCAAGGCCCAGCCACACTAAAACTTGGCCATATATATGGTTGTGTGTGTATGTATTATATATTTATTTATTTAATTTGATTTCAATTCCTATTTACTACCAAACAAAGTAACTCATTTTACTTAAACACATTACAATTACTAAGTATATTTGATTTCCATAACACGTTATCTAGAATTGTAGTACGCCGAGTTGACTATTATAAATCCGTCAGCGTGTTGGCAAATTATACCGTGGACCAGGGCACATAATGCATTGTGCGTCCTGACCCAAAACGATGTCGTTTTGTACCTTTTTAGCGTGTCTGCTGTTAATTCCCTTAAAAAAATCATGTTTCGAATGTACAGAATTGTATAATAGAAAACACAGAATTTTATACCTGAAAACACATAATCTTTTTTAAAAGGATAAAAATTCCCTGTTTCGAATTGAATGTACCAAATTTTATACATGAAAACACAGAATTTTATAACAAAATACAAAACGACGTCGTTTTGGGTTATAGCGTGTTCCCATGCATCCTACTTGCCTTATTATTATGACGGAGTATTATTTTCTTCTTCTTTTAATTTCTCCCTTTATCAGCCGGTCATAAAAGAAATAACTATGAAAGTGTTATTCTCTTATAGATAAATTAAAGCCTAACGATATGTATTTATAATAATGATGTGATTGAACACGCAATAATCGCTATTCTGCAGACAGCTGAGAGTACTAAACATTATGCAATTATCAAATAATGCCAAATTACTTTTGATAATAATGATGTGATTGAACACGCAATAATCGCTAATTCTGCAGAGAGAATACTAAACATTATGCAATCATCAAATAATGCCAAATTACTTTTGGGGATTTGGACGACCGAACATCACATCTAGCGTTTACTTGGGTAGAAGATAAGAAGTCAAGCAATTGCGTACAACAAGTCAGTTGCCAATTGCCAATTGCCAACTTAGCTTGTTTCTAGTTGCCTCTTCTTCACAGGATTTGGAACATGGCTTGGGTTCCACGAATTGTACTTTTAGGGTCCGTTTGGAAATCCGAAAAATGATTTCTGGAAAATGTTTTCTGAGTTTTTAGTGTTTGGATGCAATAGGAAAATCCAGTCAACGGAAAACATTTTTCGTTGACTGGGAAAATGAAGCCATTTTGGCAGAAAATGACTTCCGCCAAAATTTAGGGGAAGTCATTTTCCGTCAAAATGTAAACATACAATTCTACTCATTTTTTCGGAAAATAAACTAAACACACCAAGTTTTCCAAAATGCAACCAAACACCGGAAAGGAAAATATTTTCTGGAAAAAGACTCATTTTTCAGAAGTCATTTTCCTCCTTTCCAAACAGACCCTAAGAGGGTAGTATATTGTATATATTCTATACTTTAAATTTGAATGTTATTTTTAGATCAGGATTCACAGTGTAAGATATATCCTGACCCATGGTATAATTTGTCATAAATAAATTTCAGGTGGTAAATTATAATAAAAATATGTAACTACATAAAATATATATATATATATATATATATATATATATATATATATATATATATATTGAATTCCCTCCAACCAAATTAAACGCCCCATTATAGAAATAAAAATTTATATTAACATTTTATTGAAAAGTCGATACTCCATTTAACTTAAGTTTCAGTAGGTTGAGAAAGTATATGAACAAATACTACATTGTAATAGAGCTAGTACCATTCAAAAAATTTAACTCAAGTTTCAAAAATTTTGTTTCAGTCAACTATTGATGTGACTTTCGACAAAAGAGTAAATGGTGGTCCAGCTGAATGGAAACAACTCTAGGTAGACAAATGGTTTTGAAATTTATTATGAATTTATGAGTGATTGACAAATTAGTTCTCTTAGAGCATCCTTAGTAGTTGATCTCCGTTGTTATTTTTTATGTGTTTTTATAAACGTGATTAGGAAAGAGATACAAATGTGGGTGAAAAAGAAAAAGAAAAAATTTTAAAAAAGCTGACATTTATAACAAAAAAAATAAAAATTAAAAAGGTTCAAAATTAAAGTCAGTTGGCGACCACTTTGACGCGTGCTCACCCGCTATGGGTGCAAGGTGTGCGCCAAGCAAGCATCCTTCCTTGGAGAAGGAAGAACTTTGATATTAACTCTCCTCCACATCTAGAAAGATCCCCACCCAAATCCTTTGATCAGACATAAACCTTCTTTCCAAAAGGCTGAACCCCAACCCTAAGGGCCCCCCACACCTCAGCCCGACAGAGCATCTGAGAATATGTAAATCATGGTAAATCAACTTAACACATGAACCACATAGGCTAGACATTTGCTCACTGCGCACAAGGAGCCCCTCTAACTTTGAGAGGTTACTCCCACACTGCCGCTGGTGAGACTCGATCTTTGGTCATTCTTTTCAACTTTTACCTCTATGACCAGTTGAGTTGCCCATGCCCGCGATCTGACATAAACCTTGCATGATCCATTGGTGTAGATGCTCTTACAAAGATCATCGAAATTCTTTACAAATAAAAATGAAGAAAGCAGAAAAAATCCGTGGGTTGAATTTTTTTTTTTTTTTTAAACATTAATGATAAGTGAATATTATCTTATTATTTGCAAAATCATTTACAATATATATTTATTGCTCCAACACCACTTTTTATTTGCACTAATTCATTTTCTTTCTCTCCTCTCACCTCTTTCATCCACAACTAAACCTAAAAGCCTGCAAAATCCATATAAAACAATTTGTGAAGATGATCTCACCTTATAACATTTATATATACTTTATCTAGAATTCTATTACGTCATGTTGAATGATGTAAATGAGTAAATCCGTCAGCATGTTCCCATCCTACTTGCTAACTTGCCTTATAATTTATTATTTACTAGGAAATACTAGGAAAGTACTATTATTCTCTCATAGATAAAGACTAATGATATTTATTTATAATGATGTGATTGAACGCGCAATCGCTAATTCCGCGGAGAGAGAGTAATAAACATTATGGGCAATTATTAAATAATGCCAAATATAATTACTTTTAGGTATTTGGACGACCGATCGTGGACCACTTAGCTTCTACGACAATTCAGCTGCCAATTGCCATGCATGACAAACCTTCTTTCTTGTTTCTTTAAATGTTGAATCAAATAAAGTTTTTCTTTGCAACCAATATAGTGTGATAGCAGATCTGTTAACATTTCAAATGTATGATCATATGCTCATACTCCAATAATGGAGGCAATGATTCTTGAGTTGAACATATACAATCATGAGTGCTTCAAAAAAAGAAAAACTAATCATGGATTGGGTTCTACGAATTTTCGGTGCCACCCCATTGTCTTCCTATATGTAATTTTTAACTTTTGATCTCTCCTTTCGTTGTATCTACATACAGAAAGTAGGCATTTACGTATTTAGTTTCATTTTATATACCATGTATCATTGGGCAACATTCAGATTAATAAGTAAGGGGAAAAGTGCTAGCTAGTCATATTAGTTTTTCCATACGAAAATAGGTTTTGAACTCTTGATATTTCTTAAAGAATAAGAGTGCATGGTCACTCAAACCAATCAAACTAGTTAATAGCACCATTATTTTTGTTCTAACTACAAACGGACCCGAAGTGTTAGAGTTATGAAAATTGTAATACTTATGTGAGAAAAATGTACTCCATCTGTCTTATTTTACCTGTTTTGTTTACTATTCATTAGTCAAATTAACTATATTTTTTTTTTTTTTGCTTTTTTTATTTAGTATTTTTAATTATTTTTAAATTTAACTTTTTGTATTTAATATTATTTTTAATTTAGTTTCTAAATATATAAATTTTATATACTAATCATTTTTTTTTAGTACTATTAACTCTTTATATACTAATTTAAGTTTTATATTATGAAAAAGTTAATTAAATAAGTGTATAATACTTTATTCGACAGCTGTAGGTTGTGCCCACCATCATTTAGAGATTGTGCAAACAATGTGTGGTACGTAGCATTCCACTTTTGAAAATTATCAATCAGACTTTATATGAACAATTCTTTTAATTAGGAGAAAAACAACAGAATATTTCTGTCGCATTCTGAATTCTGCAGAAATGTTTGGCAAGGAAATTTAAGGATGTTCACCTATAAATACTTTAACACATTGAGACCATTAATTATCAAAACACATTACTCATTCCATCACATATACCATCTCCTATGGCCCTCAACTTTCATTTCAGTTTAGTTGTTCTTGCAACCCTTTTCCTCTTGGGGTTGTCGGCGTTGGCGTCTCAAGCCACCGCCCGTACCCTCGAAGAAACTTCCTTACTCCTGCGCCATGAGAGGTGGATGGCTCGCCATGGGCGTTCGTATAAAGATGATGTTGAGAAGGCAAACCGGTTCAAGATCTTCAGAGAAAATTTAGAGTTTATCGAGTCCTTTAATAAGGCTGGTAATCGGTCTTATAAACTTGGCACTAACAAGTTTACTGATCTAACTAACGAGGAGTTCCGAGCCACCATGCTTAATGAAGAGAAGTCATCCCCACTCCCTAAGGCTTCAAAACCAGCATCATTTTTGAATGAGAGTTTGGCTCAAGTTCCAGACTCTTTGGATTGGAGAAAGCAGGGTGCTGTGACTGGTATCAAAGACCAAGGAAACTGTGGTACGGAACTATTAACAATTATTGCACAACTTTATTTATTTTTTATATAATAAAATGTCATGTTCAATTGCAAAGTGTGGACCACAAGTGTTTTGTCATTTTAACAATTATTGCAAAACTTTATCTAATTTTTTTTCGTTTCCAGAAAAAAAAATTAATTTTTTTTTTTGGGAAAGTAATAAGTATACTCTTAGAGAGTCACCATTTCTCTTGAATTTTATTGAAGAAACAGAAAACAAAGGAATCATAATTGTGGCTCAGTTTTTTTTTAAAGAAAATATTATATAAACTTCTATTTTTTACTCCAACTTTTCTAAATGGGAAAAATAATAAGTGTATTCTAATAAATGAATTTGTTTTTTACTTAGAAAACAGTTTTTAAAAATTTTCTAATTTTTTAAAAAAATTAAAAATGTTTTGCTAGTAAACATGTTTTCTATTTACTATTCTTTAATTCTCCAATTTTTTATAGTTAAATTTTTCAATTAGTAAATAGACTCTTACTCTCCCACTCAATATCTTGATATTGACATTTTTATCATCATCCACATGATAAAAACATAATTTATCAGTGTCCGTCACATCAAGAGTAAAAACAAGGGAATAAGAATTGAAAATACATATAATACAAATTTTTTAAGGATGAATTAAATTATATCAGGCGGGGAGGGAGTAGAAAATAGAGTAAAACATGCATAATATGGTATTATGGATAAGGTTGTTGGTTATGGTTTTATGGATAAGGTTATGGTTTTCTTGATTGGTTATGGTTTTATGGATAAGGTTGTTGCTGGGCATTTTCTGTGGTGGCGGCGGTGGAAGGAATAACGAAAATAAAAACCGGCCAATTAATTTCCTTATCGGAACAGCAACTCCTCGACTGCGACCGGCAATACGGCGACGGCTGCAACGGCGGCGTGAGAACCCAGGCGTTCGAATTCATAAAGGAAAACGGCGGCCTCGTGGCGGAGTCCGACTACCCCTACGAGGGCGCTCAGGAAGAGAGCTGCAGCGCACAAAACCTCGGCACCCCAGCAGCCGCCATTACAGGCTACCAAGTGGTGTCCACCACCGAGTCCGCTCTCCTGGCGGCCGTCGCAAACCAGCCGGTCTCCGTCGGAATCACCATCGGCGGGGACGTGTTCCAGCACTACCAAACCGGAGTTTTCACCGGCGACGGCAATGGTGACTGCGGGTCGGGATACCACCACGCCGTGACGATCATTGGGTACGGGACGAGCGGCGGTGGAGAGGATTATTGGTTGGTGAAAAATTCATGGGGGACCAGTTGGGGTGAGAATGGGTATATGAAGATGGCCAGAGGGATCAATGGTGATGGAGTTTGTGGGGTTAACACCAGGGCTTCTTACCCCACTGCTTAAATTTTGCTATGAATTATATATTGTTGCCAATCTTTTGCAAAAACCAAATTTATAGTCATAAAATTCCTTCCAAATTTATATACATGTGTTGAATACTGTGAAAAACATGTAATGTATCATTAAGTTACATTGTATTTCATATATGCATAATGTATTTTTAATACATATATAGGTTTCCCAACTTAATTCTAGCATTCAGTTTCTTGTTCAAAGAGTCATTAGAGGATATAAATTCCAGTAGCATGAGCAACTTTTTAGTCAGTTTTTCACGCACAAAGAGTACAATCTAAATGCTACTCCAACTTGAGTAGTTCAATCCCCCACCGTATTGCCTCTAGCGATGTATAATGTGTTTTTAATGTATAGTTATCTAGCATCATTCTGTTCTCAATGACTCTGGAATGTTGGAAAGTTCTTGATTAGTAAATCTGTTAGTACAGACAAATATCGCAACTTCAGTAGTCAAAGACAAGCATTTAAAGAAAGAATAGTAGCTTTATTGACTAGTATTTTAGCTATGTGATGCACCAAATAAATTATATTATTATAAATTTAAATAAAAATTAACAAATAGAAAGAAGTTAAAATGTAAAATATAATTGATGGGGAAATAGATCCCGGGTTACTGACCATTTTGTATTAAGCACTTGAACGGATCTGAGTCCTCGTATGGTGGGGGTCTCTTCCCGACCTCGGCCAACCTAACAAGAGTACCTAACCGACCTGACCTGAAGGTTAGGCATCTTATTAGCTTAGTGAGCATCTACTCTTAGCCTTTTGTGCTTGGTCCCGACCCGAATGCTCGGCTGCGGCCCCAAGTCCACGTGTTGAGACCTTAAAAATGAACATTGACAATAACGCTTGAACCAAGCCTGATAGACCTTGGCCAATAAGATATTCCTCTGATCTACACGTGGATGCTCATCCTTAGCCTCCAAGACCGCCGAGTGGATGGAGGACACGTATCGCACATGCTGACCTTTCGGCATGTGTATCCTTTCACCTCCTATAAATATCGCTGATGGATATATTAGAAACGGGCTCGGGGCAAATCGACCCGGAGAGGAGATGGAGCGGCATGAGAGGCCAAGGGCGATCCCAGCAGGGGTTGACCCCGGCTAGGGTCTATGATGCGTAGTATATTTGCAAACAAATAATTCTCGGAGTACGAGTTATCGATCCACAGGGAAGTGGTTGTATCAAGCACTAGTTACTAACTTATTCATTAGAGCTAATCCTAACAATTACTTAGATGATTGATTGGCATAAAATAAATAAAATAAAACAGAGGTTCAGGATTTTGAAAACAATTAGAGAGAAGTTGAGATTCATGGGATTCAAGTATTTAATCACCTAGTGCCAATTATCGTTTGCAATATTTAGTTTGGAATTAAGATTTGTGTGGGAATGCAAAGTGGAATCGAATTACTCCCGTAATCTCTATTCCTAGTGAATTTCCACACCCATGGCTTAAACACCCAATAAGATCAAAGATCAGCATTCAATTATTCCTAATTACTATCATCTCCCGATGAGCAATAATCTAGAATAAACTTCCCCTAATAAGTTCCCCTTTCCCAAGGACCAACTGTTAGGTGCAATCGTGTGTGCCCTAATTTATGCCCCAACTCCCATTGGTGACACAAACATGGCTATGAAGCTAGTAACTATGGCCATTAATTACAAGCATCAAACAATATTATCACGATTGCAACACAAGTATTAAACCCAAATAATAATATTTTAAAGAAACTGAGAGCTCAGGCACATGGGTTCATAAACACTTTTACCCAAGAATCTCTAAAGAATTTAGCCAAGCATGACTAAATTATACATAGCAAATATAAATAAAGAATTACAAATCATCAAAAGAGTACAAGAATTAACCAGACGATTTTCCCAAATCTCCCTAGTCTTCTTCTTGCTTTCCAAGACAACTTGTGGCTCTTGATTTCTCTCCTTCTTGTCTCCAAGAATCTCTGAATTCTCTCGGTCTCGGTCCTCCATTAGGGTTGAGGAAGGAGGGATTTTATAGTGGGTACAAAGTTGAGATGAAATAGGAATCTTGTACCCAATTAGACTCAAATTCTAATTCCTATATTTAAATAAAGAAATTGTCGTCTTTAATGATATTTAGAATTTGGAAGATTCCTTGAATTGCTAACTTTTAATATGGAGATATGAGCCTTGAAATCCGTGCAATTGATATTAGGAAAAGAAATCTCGCGCTTGTATTGAATTTTGCCCAGCTGCGCCACTTTAGGCGTCTGTTTTTATCCCAGAAATAGACGCCTATTCTCTCGACGCGTCGAGAATTTTCTCCACGCGTCGAGACTTCCTGTGCGCGAATTAGTTAGCTACTGGAAAATTTCGACGCGTCGAGCCAAGGGCTCGACGCGTCGAGTCCACTGGGCCCTGAACTCATCCAAAATTGCTCCAAACTCATCCTTGAACTTCCCTTACTCATAGAATTGACCTACAATGGTTCAAAAACACTAACAAACACCGTAAAACATTCAAAACAAGTACGAACCATAATTAAATGATAATAGCAAGGAAAACCTGTATTAAATAAGCAAAATTAAAGAACTTAAATACTGAGATGATTCAAAATAACTATAAAAACAAGCACAGATGTGATAACATCAGTCTACCTCAGCCTCGGTCAAGGTCGACCCGGCTGGGGTCGACCTCAGCTAGGGCGGTCACGACCCGGGGGCTTGGGGGCGGAAGGCTGCTTCGGTGGAGGTGTCCTAGGCCACGGGCGTGCACGCGGATCTGGTCAAATTGTGATCCAACCGCCCACCCTATTCTCAGAGGGCGGTTGAGGGGCTAGCTTGTATAAAATAGCCCACTCTTGTCTTGTTTAGGACATCCAACATCTTGTCCAATTATTACATTATCTTTGTAATTCTCCTACAACAATTATCCATACAAACGCTGTGTCCGTGACATATATCTATTGTCTTTATTACCACATTATCCTAGTCCTATTATTATCAGGTTTAGTAATTCGGGCTACCCCGGGTTAATTAAATCCATCATTGGTGCTCTCATTGAGAGTTGACATACAAGCTCGAGCGTGCTCCATATTTCACTGGCTATGGCAGGGTCGAGGTCCAACTCTCATAACCCGAATGGCTCCCGCAACACCCGTGTCTCCCCGACTAGGGACGACCTCACGGGACCACTAGTCAGCAACGAACTCTTTCTTTGAGGTCGGCGGGTGGCCTCAGTGGTGCGCCAGCCCCCGCCCCCACCGCTTCTCCTCTGAATCTCGCTTTTTTCTAGAGATGGGAGGGGGGGGGGGGGGGGGTTGCCGCTCTTTAACAAACCTCCGTGGCGCTAGCCCGCCTCGTGGAGGGGCTTCAAGGAGGTACACAGGTCAGCCAAGAGGCTGGCCGAGGGGTCCCGACCCCGCATCCACCTCCCTCAAGGGGCACAGTGGCCCAAGCACCCGACCACCCCGAGCCCTAGGAGCTCAAGTCAAAGGGGAGGTCAACTCACATCAACCATCAGACAGACGAGGAGATGAACGATGACGTTGAGAGGAGAACGGGAGGCGACCTACTCGCACCAAGTCCGCCTGGGAACGACTTGGTCCCGCGTACCAGCCCCGTGCCTCCTAAGGCCGAGGCCGACTACGAACGACCCACCCATAGAGGCGTCCTCATCACGAAAAACCAGAAGGTAACGACCCCCGCATGAGAAGAGTCCGAGGAGGGGGCCCATCACTTTCCCCCACCGAGACGCCCTTGATAGTCAAAGTAGAGATCATCGACCTCCTAGATGAACTTCAGCCGATCCGACCTCATGGTAAAGGTAGGGACCGGCTTCCCCCCAGCCGAAATGTCATAAGCCGCAAGCTGGCCGTAAACCCCACGATCAAGCTGGTGCAGCAGCATAATAGGTACCTCTTCAAGAAGAGGAGGTAGTTCGTGATGAAGGGGGTCAACACCCTCCCCGAAATAGGGCACATCAGGGAGGTCCTATACCCCGAGTGGCTCACCAACGTGGTCCTCGCCCTCAAGCCGCCCACCTGGGGAGCGTGCGTGGACTACACCGACCTTAGCAAGGCCTGCCTCATTGACCCCCCAAGGGGCTTGGGCAACGACTAGCATATTATTCCTCTAAATGCGTGAGAACCCGAGCTCCAACATGAGGCCTAGGACCCTTCAACAAATCATTGGAAGGAGTATGGGAGATTTGAAGAACCAAGGGGCGGTTTGGACTCCCCCCCACCCCCCACCCCCCAAGAATCCTAAGCAAATATCATTGATCCTGAAGAGGTGAACCTGGCGACCCCACCCTTGAAGTCCGAAACTATTTTATTTTTTCAAAGGTAAATGGGGGGATTGTTGGTCCCAAAAGAGGTAAGGTGAAAGTCTAGTAGGGGGGGGGGGGGGGAGGTGAATAGACTTTCAAACTTTTTCGCACAGCACAACAATTGCTAAGCCATTGATAAACCAAAACTCTTAACTAGATTGTTAGAGTATGGTGCACAGCGGAATTAAATAAAGATAAAGTGTGTGTGAGATTGTGTGAGTTATATCTCGTGTGAAGCAAGTAAAGAGCAGTAAGTAAAGAAAGCAGTAAAGAACACAAGACAAATATAGTGGTTCGGAGGTGGTGTAATCCTCCTACTCCACTTGCTCTTATCTCCAAGAGCAATTCACTATATCCACCACTTCTTGGTTCCAAGATACAATGAATTCTGTGATCTAGTGCTTTGATCACCAAGCCCGCACTAATCACGCCCAGTGACACCACACTGCTGCTTCGGGTTTCACGTCGCCGCGCTACTTTCCCAGGATTTCACGACTCCGCGTTACTTTCCCCCCGTCTTCCACACTCCGGTAGAAACGTATCCCGTGATCTAGTTCTTTGATCACAAAGCCCGCACTAATCATGCCCAGTGCCTCCGACACTGCTGCTTCGGATCTCACAGCTCCGTGTGACAATCCAGGATTTCACAGTTTCGTGCTACTTTCCTCCCTTTTCTTGTTTTGCTCCAAAACATGTTTTGTCTTGCTCCAAAACAAGTTTTGTCTTGCTTCCAACTTTGAGACTCTGTAGTTGATCTTCAATGATGCGCTTAGTCTCTTTGAGTTGATAAAGATTCTAACACTCTTGGATATCTCT